ATAGAAGCTATTGCAGCAATTGGTGTTAACACTAATGCAATTGCACTAACAATTACTTAAAGATACTTCACACTTTATACTTGTAGAGTAAAAGTTACTCTTTATAACATATTCCGCAATTACCCTCCTGCGATACTTTCTCTTTGCAACATTTTTATGAATTAAGTCAATTCTGAATCTAACGGCATTTCTTAATTATTTACTATTTATCCTCAGAGCAATTATACAAAGATATGTTATTTAATCACCGTGATTTATCACGACTCTGAACGTGTAAATATTGCTACCTAAATAAGAAATTATCGAAAATGTATTATGTAAAGATCGATAGAGGTCTTCATATTGATGAGTCCGGTTCAGTGAACCGAGTATCATTGTGTAGCGCGACATCATTAGACGATATCCTCGCGACGCCAATTAAAGTGATTTTGGTACGACATATAAAGCGTTTTCTCAGAGCATTATTTATTTAGTGTTCTTTTTTTTATATTCAGAATATAATTTTTTGTCATATTTTTAAATGTTTTTTTGATAAAACGTAAAACTATAATTAGGTTTTCTACTCCGCGGCATGGAAAGAAACAGACATTATGACATAATGGACATTATCTACGAGCCCAGTAAAACAAAAGAACATCCTAAAGACACTGCTTGATTACTCTCGTCATGTCTCTGGGCAAACTGTCCAAGCGACTGCTCTTAAACGCTTTAGAGGCTCTCTTCAAAAGCTCATAGACGAGCAGTTCGAATTCCGCCTAAAGCACTCCTGCATCTAACAAATGCGCCGCCTCATGGAACACATTCTAATCCTTTTTTTCGAAAACGCCAAGGCGTTCAACACATTTTGCCAGATCAAGGGCAGATGCTTCTCAAATTCATCTATTACCCGATCCGTTGAGAAGGTCAGCCGAGTAGTTCAGTCACACGTAGTTTGACGTCCGACAAGCTTGATGAGTACTGACTTGTGTTAAGCCTGCTCCTTGGGACGGCGGGATGGATGTAATGTCCTCTGCGTCAACTCCGTCCCGCCGTCTCAATAACCCCGACTGGGCTCCGGCCCGGTCCGAGGTAGAGCGCCGGCTGTGAGCGGCAGGAGTTTTTAGTGAGGTTCAACTCCCACATACCCCACATGCCGCGCGGGTGGGGATCCGACGATTTTCTCCTGTGGAAAAAAAAAAAGCCTGCTCCTAGCATTAGAACTAGGGACGTCTTCTAATAAGAGAAATGGAATGGGGTCTTTTTGGGTGTAAATAATATTGGATTTAGTGATGAAGTGAGAAAGTGATGGATTCACTTTATGGTTGTAGACCGTTCAGTCATCGGAACGGTCATCAGAATAATTATGGTGACATCAGAAAACACAAACGCGAACTACGGTCAAATTAAAAAAAAGCTGGCTTAGCCATCTATGGATGGTTTTAAATGTATTTATTTTTGCTAGGATAAGCTTGACGTTCGTGTCTTAGAAAATTATTTCAGACCAGGCTTTTGAGATGTGCCAAGTTTGTAAACTAAATACCTACAGGGGGTATACACATAGGTCCAATAAGTAGGTAACACATTCATATATTTGGGTTTACTCGTGGAATTGCCGTAATAAAATACGATCGAGATTTCCACCTCATATCTCAGGGTGGATAGCGGCATTTACGTTGCGATGCCAATGGACTCCTATAATCACACCGGATTAGCTTTGAACTCGTGCATTCAAGTAATAAAAACTAATTAAAAAATCGGTTGTCTGTAAAGTCGGTTTACTGACGATAGTCGAACGTGACAACGTCATAAGAAAATACTGATGGAATGGTTTCATTTTTCAAAAGAAAATTTTAATTTTATTTGTTTGATAGAAATTTTGTATGGATATAGAGAAGGAGGTAAATGGAAATCACTATTGAATTATCGTGACCCTTCAATTTCTCTGATGACGTTTTCAATGTTCAAATTAGACTCAAATTGACTACGGCGTTCCATGATCGCTTCTTTGTTGTCGTCAAATAATTGGAGAAATTTATGGCCAGTTTAGCCACATGATCGTGGAACGCCTCAGAGCGAGGTAACGCCGCACGAGTCATGTTTTTTCGTGCGTGCAGCCGGCTCCGTCGAGTTATAAGACATTATCACGTCAAAATCGACAACACCTTTTGACATAAACCGTTCACGTAAATTTATCGTCGATTAATCAATCGGCTAATAATAATTGTTAATATGATAGAATTCGTATTAATCGATAAAAATCGATTACAATCGATTACAGTCCTAACGACCGTATCGGAAACACTTGTCACGTATACAGAATAATTGAAATGCTTTCAATACGCAATTGTGAAAACCCCTTTGTAAATTAACACAAAGGTATCGGACGGATAGTTTCTTAACCTATGAAATTATGCAAATTGCGGCACCGTTTCACAGTTATTTCATGCGTCTATTACGCAAGTTCGACCTTCGGTACAGTTCGAGTTCACGTACGTGACAAAATTAACTGGCATACAATAATTTTTGTCCTTGTTGATATGCCGGGTTAATGTCTTCACGTTTGACTTATAGCGAATAAGTTGTTTATGTATGTTGTAATGTTATGAAGAGACGATTAAAAACACTATCATATCACCAATGGCGGATCGAGGGGGGGGGGGTCATGGGGGTCATGACCACCCCCCTGAGCTGGTTCCAGGACTTAGGTGGACCACTAATTGAATATAATGATTTTATTTATATATTTTGTCACCATACAGATTTTATGTAACTACATACCTTCAATATTTAATTAATTTAATATAATATAATAACTTTGTATATAGGCAAACGTTTGGGAACGAACGCATCTAAATTTGACTATGTGACCCCCTTCTGGCGCCAAAGCTGGATCCGCCCTTGCATATCACGCGTTTTACGTTCATTAATTTAAAAATTTCCAATGTCTCGAGATCCGAGATAGGGCTGTAAGAGAGTCTGCAATTTCAATTACGCCTACCTTTCACCGAAGACTCAAAAGTCATACATAAATTAAACAGAAAAGAGGCGAGTTAAGCCCTGCGTGATCTCCAGACTTTTAAGGGAAAAATGCCTTGCTTTAATATGAAACTGTATTTATGACACGCCCGGTGCTATTCTCTAATGTAAGATCACAAATATCACAACTTAAATGCCATTTTGAGGCATGTGGATGGAATGGACGTAAATGCTTTACGTCCGATATTGGTGGGGTCTTGGTAGCACGCGTTATAAGAATTGAGCTGTTTAGTTATTTAAAAATTTCGTTGGATAATTTTCTTTAAGGGACATGGTATTAAATGGTTAAGAGAGCCACAATGACAGCCATAGCGACGTCACCCACCTTGTGACCCAAAATCGAAATCTCAGTTGTCCTATATGACGCATTAGTTTAGCGTAAAAAGCGAAGACTACAAATGACTGGTTTCGTAATTACTGGTGTTAGGACCTCTTGTGAGTCCGCACGGGTAGGTACCACCACCCTGCCTATTTCTGTCGTGAAGCAGTAATCCGTTTCGGTTTGAAGGGTGGGGCAGCCGTTATAACTGAACTGAGACCTTAGAATTCATATCTCAAGGTGGATGGCGGCATTTACGTTGTAGATGTCTATGGGTTCCGGTTTAATACCAGGTGGGCTGTAAGCTCGTCCTTCCATCTAAGCAATAAAAAAAAAGTTAATTTTACAAATACGAATTGAATAACTAGGGTTCCGATTTTAAAATTGTAGTCGATAATCTATTCGAACTAATTTTTAACCGTCATTACACATAGTAGTTACAAAACATATTTTTAGTGCAGGAATTCCGTTGTAGCATTTCGACAATAATAATTTCAATAGATGTTTCGATTACAACTACAGCGTTATACATTAAGGACCGTCATGCGTTTAAGGTTGTTAATAAATAATAAATAAATATTTACTAACAGTCAACTGGTCCCGTGATAAGTTCGTAAAGAACTTGTGTTACAGGTACCAGATAACGGAAATAAATATAAGATTTTTATTATACACATACACATATTCAATATACGTCCATAATTCTGGAAAAGACATTTATATTTATCATACAAATATCATCCCTTGGCGGGATTCGAACCCGCGACCCCCTTGTGTAGTGACCATGTTACTTACCACTACACCAGACGGCCGTTAATAACTTAATAGTAATTATTTTCGTTTAATTATGAATCTTAAGACCCTAGTTGATTCTTAATGACTCGGCGCTGCTGTAGTTAACACCCTTGATTGTTGTGCTGAGTGTCGTAAAATGCATCGTAGAAGTAATTCATGAAAATAAGGTAAGTACGTATTTCATTAGAAAAATTGGTATGCGCCTTCGGGATTCGAACTCCAAATTCGAACATGAATACGCCGGAGGTCTTACTTATCCTTTAGGCCACGGTGACTTCTAATACAAATCGTTAGAGCCGTTTCCGAAATGCACGAAATATATTTAGTTAAAAACAAGACTAATTCATTAGAATTAAGAAGACTAGAATTAAGAAGAATTAATAAGACTAATTCATCAGAAACAATTTTATTCTTGCAAAGATATTTTAGTATATTTAGTTAAAAACAAGACTAATTCATCAGAATTAAGAAGACTAGAATTAAGAAGAATTAATAAGACTAATTCATCAGAAACAATTTTATTCTTGCAAAGATACTTTAGTATATTTAGTTAAAAACAAGACTAATTCATCAGAATTAAGAAGACTAGAATTAAGAAGAATTAATAAGACTCATTCATCAGAAACAATTTTATTCTTGCAAAGATATTTTAGTATATTTATAATGCACGAACAAAAAAAAACTGTTCCAAAACTAACGTATTTTTTTATTTGCGTTACGCAATAATTACAAGAAATTGGTTTTTTAAATACCATTTTTATCTTTAAAATTGCGTTTTTATCTAAATAACTAAGTCATCTATTATTTTAAATACTCTAGATGTAGTATTTAAGGCGGTTGAGCTTGGAATATTTCATGAGTTCCTCACCTGTCGCCGGATCGAAACTGAAATGGAAAAGTTGTATCTGTTTATTGTTTTTCTTTCATGTGCCTTATTACTGAAAGGTAAGATTTGGATGTTTTAACCACTAAAGTATATTTTGAATCTACTCTATATATAATTAACTTTGAATCATGTTTAACAATAAAATGTAATAAAAATCAAACCCGCAAAATTATAATTTGCGTAATTACTGGTGGTAGGACCACCAGTAGGTGAAGCAGTAATGCGTTTCGGCTTGAAGGGCGGGGCAGCCGTTGTAACTATACTTGAGACCTTAGAACTGATATCTCAAGGTGGGTGGCGCATTTACGTCGTAGATGTCTATGGGCTCCAGTAACCATTTAACACCAGGTGGGCTGTGCGTTCGTCCACCCATCTAAGTAATAAAAAAAAATATATATATTTTCGCTAGAAGTATTCGTTGATTGATAAATAGGCAGCCATACTTTTTCCACAGAATGTATTGTATATTATAAAATCACTATTGTCTATCGACAGATGTTACATGTACGGATTCTGAGGCGTTATCCAAAGACGAGGAAAAGATAGTAGGAGGCGAAGAGATTAGCATTAACAAAGTTCCGTACCAAGCGTATCTTTTGCTCCAAAAAGATAACGAATACTTCCAATGCGGAGGTTCGATTATTAGCAAACGTCACATCCTCACGGCGGCACATTGTATCGAAGGGTAAGATAGTTAAATTTCACATAGAACTTAATTTAAGTAATTTAGGTGTGAAGTTAAATTGGATAGTTTGCAGGAGGATCGATTTGGAACTCGACCCTTCAATTGACTACTACTTTAGCCTAAACATAGAGCAAACTTCATTTATTGCAAAATACTAGACACGAACGTGATTCTAGTCACTATAATTATGTTTATTAACCAGCAATGTATAATAGTGTAATAAATAAATAAATATGTTATATTATATAGTGCATGAATAGTTCTGGGAAAATTCAGTCTAGACACTTCGTTATTTCTTCAAGAATGAAGAGCACTGTACATTCTGGTGGTAGGACCTCTTGTGAGTCCGCACGGGTAGGTACCATCACCCTGCCTATTTTTCCCATGAAGCAGTAATACGGTATGAAGGGTGGGGTAGCCGTTGTAACTATACTGAGACCTTATAACTTAACCCAAGGTGAGTGGCGGTATTTACGTTATATATGTCTATGGGCTCCGGTAACCACTTAAAACCAGGTGAGCTGTGAGCTCATCAACCCATCTAAGCAATAAAAAAAAATAAGAACAGTTAATAGCGAAGTTAGCTTATTGAGAAGATCTGGCGAGAAACTGAGTGGTCTATGTCTATGGGTTAGTTATAGTCGTATTCGACGAGTTTGACGACGACGGTGACCGGTGCTTGAGAGGCCTTAAAGCACCGAATATTCTTTATAATATATCGTGAGTTATTACCTGTACATATTACTATCCTGCCTATTTCCACTGTGATACCGCCTCGAGTATCGTTTTAAAATTATTGCTTAGCAATACAACTGAGAATTAAATCTCAAATTTTTACTGGTGGTAGGACCTCTTGTGAGTCCGCACGGGTAGGTACCACCACCCTTGTCTATTTCGGCCGTGAAGCAGTAATGCGTTTCGGTTTGAAGGGCAGGGCAGCCGTTGTAACCATACTGAGACCTTAGAACTTATACCTCAAAGTGGGTGACGCATTTACGTTTTAGATGTCTATGGGCTCCAGTAACCGCTTAACACCAGGTGGGCTGTGAGCTCGTCCACCCAACTAAGCAATAAAAAAAGGAAATCTCAAGATGGGTGATATTCAATGCGATGTCTGTAGTTGTTTACTATAGACCATACATGTTGGTAAATGGTTCCGTAGTCCCTTGCAAGTGATTTAAGAGGTTGTAGGTATCTTCTTTTTCTGGTAATCTGAAAATTTATTTGCAATAGGATAAATTTGTTCATAAATCGCCTGTCGGCCACCGGAAATTATAATCCCCGAAAGTGATAAAAAAGAATATTAACCTTTGTTTACTTCCAAAACAAATAAAGACTAAGAAGTAACGTAAAACTATAGGAACAACAATAAAGTTATGTACCTAATAAAACGTATATAAAAATATTGTGTCGAATTTACGTCAATAAACAAACAGTTCAGTATTGGAGTTTTGCTCGTAATGGTGACTCTATTGAGGGAAGTAATAAAACTTTCAGTTGTTTTTATTAGTATAACAGTCATTTTAAAGGCAGTATTTTAAATGTATCTAAATCTCATGCTGAATATATTTGATTTATAACGAGCTGCATCCATGGTTTATTGTCTGCGTTTTATATTATAAATTATACATTGATGGTCTCAGCGGTTTAGAAGATAGTAGTAGCTACTTACTGTACATCTGCCCTAGACACGTCCTTACGGATCCATCAGATCCAATAACCTTTGCATTAGACGCCTTCAGCTCTAACACTAGGAGCAGGCTTAGGGACCTCGGTAACCGTACTCGTCGAACTCGACAAAGAGTTCGCCGTGCAACCTAACCCATGAATCAGCTCGCTGAGTTTCTCGCCGGATCTTCTCAGCGGGTCGCGATTTCGATCCGGTAGTAGATTCATTCGCGAAGCAGTTACTCTTGAGCTGTTAGGTCTCCTTCGGAGGCGCTCGGGTAGCTGTTAGCAAATCACACCCCTCCTGGCTGAGCCTTTGCTCGCCCACCTGTCCTGGTGAAACTGGAAAGGCCCCCGGGCCAACAGTAATCCTTCAATCATAAAAAAAAACTGTACATCGTTTAACGGCCGTCTGGTGTAGTGGTAAGTGACATGGTCACTACACAAGGGGTCGCGGGTTCGAATCCCGCCAAGGGAAGATATTTGTATGATAAATATAAAATGTCTTTTCCAGGGTTATGGATGTATATTAAATATATTATTATGTATGTGTATAATAAAAATCTTACATTTATTTCCGTTATCTGGTACCTGTAACACAAGTTCTTTACGAACTTAGCACGGGACCAGTTAACGTGGCGTGATTGCTAGTAAATATTTATTTATTTATTATTTATTATTATCGTGACCCGTGTTTTATTCTATTCCATTCCGTCCATTCTGTCAGTATATTTGTTGAGTATGGTGGAGCAGCCGTTGTACTATAAAACTGAGACTTAAAAATCATGTCTCAAGCTGAGCGGCAGTTTTTACAATGTTGATGTCTATGGACTCTGGCAACTCCGACAACACCGGCTATTCCAGGTGTGCACTGAGCCCTTCCACCGATTTAAGCATTTTTTTTCCTGTATGTGATATTCGTGGTTCGGATTTATACCTTAGGCCGAAGAAGAAGAAGTTGAAATTGAAACGGTTGATTTTTAGAGCTTTTTCTATTGATGATTCTTATAAATGATACGAAAACTAACGGAAAATTTAGTCCAAAGTATGTATCATATTTTTTTTAAAAACATTCCTTTAGATGTTTTAGAAGTTATTTATTGTACACGAAAATGGCTTATTTTAATCTATTTACATTTTCATTGTACAAACGTTTCCAAATTCAGACGAGATTGCTCACTATTTATCTACGTGGTATTCGCGGGCCGTTATTTTCCAAGAATCACTTAAATTTTTAACTGAACGTGCTTAGAAGCTTAAGAACATGAGTGAGACCGAATTCGTGGTCCTAAGGGTAATACTTACTACATTTATTGAACAGACTCTATACAGACTCAGATAAAAAGTACAAATGTTCGTGAATTAAATTAAAATTGTAATAATAATTAATGTGAAAAAGATACACATATAGACAGAAATATTTGCAACATATGGGTGTAGATACCGAAGATGAGCGTATTATGGGAACCCGATGATGACTACCACTATCTTGCCTAATTGGCTTCATCATCATCATCATCATCTCAGCCTGTCTACTGCTGAACATAGGCCTCTCCAATTAATTCAAATTCAAATTCAAATTCAAAATCATTTATTTCAACTTAGATGTCAGTATGACACACTNGGTTAGTGAATTCACTAGGCTTACTATATTAAAATTTATAACAATACAATACTAATTTGTAGTTTTAAAAGAAATTGCGTCTTAGCGAGTCCTTCGGCCGTTTACAACTGTTATTCTTATTAAATGTATTTTAATTTGTCTAAACTGAAGTATATTGGTTACTGATTTCTGTTATTCTAGAAGATTTATTTATAATAATATGTTAAACAACCATGAGAGCCATAGTTAATTAAGTTTCATTAAGTCCGCAGGAGAGTTCGCAATTTAAACTGCTTTGAAAGGTGTAATTGGGAAGAGTTTGAATATTAAGTTAATAGCAATTTTTTTGAAATGGCTTTCAAAGGCAGACTAGTGTATAGCTTGACATATGGTGGTTAGTTACGATTGTTCATGGACAATAGCACAGCCAAATCGTTGTCCACAAAGTTCTACGAATGAACATCAATCATTTTAAACATAACATTTCCACAGTATCTCCAAAGTAACGGTGCGTATCGGAAGCTCAAATTCTAATAAAGGAGGCACCGTTTATACAGCGAAATCAAAGGTGGCTCATCCGAAATACAATTCTAAAACTAAAAACAACGATTTCGCCATTGTCACCGTGAACAAAGACATGGCGATCGATGGAAAAACTACTAAAATCATTACTTTAGCCAAAGAAGGCTCTTCGGTTCCTGACAAAACGAAACTATTGGTTTCCGGGTGGGGAGCTACAAGCGTGAGTGTTTCTTCTGATTTGCAATAATGAAATAGGTTACAGCGTTAATTAGCACTAAAAGTGAAATACTTGTACGCTTTTGTTGCGGATCGCACGTCAATTATCGTCAATTAACTTCGAACGTAATAAGGTCGAGAATTATATGCATAAAGTGAATACTGGTATGGCACCGAAGTGAATAGTTTAGTTTATTTTATTTATAAAAAGTCATATTAGTTTGTTAAGATCCAGCAGCTAGACATTGCGTGAGATTTCTATCAATCATGATTAATATTAATAAATATAGTGCAACAATTTTTTATTTAGCTAAAATTATTATATTATCTATTTGAAAATTAAAATTAAAAAAACAACAACAGGAAGGTGGTTCATCAAGTACAACGCTAAGGGCTGTGCACGTTCAAGCTCATTCTGACGATGAATGCAAGAAATATTTCCGTAGTTTGACATCTAATATGTTCTGCGCCGGGCCCCCCGAAGGCGGAAAGGACTCCTGTCAGGTATTTTGATAATATAGTTATAGTAGTAGATAAACATGAGAACGATTTTTGGGGTTTAAAGGTGTACTTTAAGCGGATTAAATGTTTTCAAGGCCTGTAGGTTCCAAAAATGTAATCTGAATCTAAAAGTAATTAATTTCCAATTTTTAGCTTCGTTCACGATTATCTTTTGGTAAGTAAACGATTATAAGTTTGAGTCATAAAACATAAGTTAAATAATAATTATAAAAAAAAATCACGTCAACCACAATGCACAATGTGCGACTAATCATAAAAAAATCGAGATTGGTCACTGAGGAGGTATATTTTAGCCTCAAGTGACATCAGATGAAATTAAGTGGCGTTCAGCCCAGCTTTGTAAATTTAGGCACAAATCCACTATTGTCATAGTTTTTGAAGAGACACAAAATTTTAGTCTCATATATGGTGCATGATGCTAGTAGTCGTATCTGCATTATTTATAATAAGCATATTTATCACAATTCAATAAGCTACTAAAAGCTTTGTGTGTATGAAACTTGCCGACAAATTTAAGATCTTGCTCATATTTCTAGGGTGATTCCGGTGGTCCAGCTGTTAAGGGCAATGTCCAACTTGGTGTGGTCTCCTTTGGTGTCGGCTGCGCTCGCAAGAATAACCCTGGTATCTATGCTAAAGTAAGTGCTGCTGCAAAATGGATAAAATCAACGGCGGGCCTATAAATACGAATTAGTCAAAATTTAACTTGAGTTTCAAACATTGCAATGTATGTAGTACCAATTTTTTTGTTATTACTCTTGAATGCGCGTACTTTTGAGTACTCATTATCTCAGTGCACATATCATACGTAATACTTTGAAACTCAAGTTCAGAGAGAATTTGTGTAGCTTAAAGTTTTAAATAAAGGCACTGTTTACCTAATTTAGTTTTGTTTGATTAAAATATATAGCTTATTAACCACGAAAATTAGGGGAAAAATTAATATGGTATAAGATTCAAAGAAAAATTAAACATTCTAATCGTCTATTGAATTCTAATGAATGTTACAGAATTACTATAGTAATTAAGTGGAATCAAATCTTAAACAACGTTTGATCAAGTATCGAACAATTTTTCATTATCAGAAAACATAAGTCGTCCGGATCTTAACGCTTTCCGAGAACATGCTTTTGAACCTATCTTAAAAATTTTGGAATGTGATTATTCATTCATTTATCGAACAAGATCTTAAAGGGATATTTCTGAAAGAGATTTGACATTATCAATTATATTCGATCATAATATGTGACAGGCTACTGAACAAAAGTGTCTACACAGTAATAGAATCTATATTTTCTTTTATTGTAATGCGACAATTACGCATAATAAAATGATTCCATGTAAGCGCAGTTATGCCATGCTATTAGAAAAAAATACAAATAAATGGTTTGCTCAATTGCTAACGTATAAAAAAGCTGAAATCAAATGCTACTGAATAAATAAAGTGTATAGTTATAATAAATATATTTATGATTATCGTTATGACTCGTTATAGTGTGGTTAAGTCAGCAAATTATGAGAGTCAGTAAGAAATTCAATGCGACTTAATCAATAGAATCTCAATTAAAAGAAACGATTACATTTCCTTTGGAAGTAGGAAGTATCCTTATCGCAAGAATCCGGCGAGGGATTGTCTGTCGAATTGAAAGTGACGCAGAGCACCTGGCTTCTTTCGGCGAAATTAAAAAAGTTTCATCTTCGACCCAACTCTCAGGTCTCGTTCATTTAAATTCTAAGGGATTCCGTGTTAGTATTCATTGTGAGTTTTCGTCATTCAGAAAAAGTTTTGCATTTCAACAGTTTCGGTTCTGGTCTGATGGAAATTTGCATCGTGTTTTTTTTTTGGTTATTGGAAAAATCGTTTATTGATGGCGATATGATCGTGTGGAAAATTTTATCGTATTAAGCTGCATATTAAGGCATATCGAGAGCCCTACTAACCTAAGGTAGGCTGTTTAGTGCTTGTTTATATCTGTTAATGTTTTATCTTCAATCAGGTACAATGAATGAGACTTGGACTTTACTTTGTCATTACATGTAAATCTTCTTATTGATTATTGAATGNAAATCGTTTATTGATGGCGATATGATCGTGTGGAAAATTTTATCGTATTAAGCTGCATATTAAGGCATATCGAGAGCCCTACTAACCTAAGGTAGGCTGTTTAGTGCTTGTTTATATCTGTTAATGTTTTATCTTCAATCAGGTACAATGAATGAGACTTGGACTTTACTTTGTCATTACATGTAAATCTTCTTATTGATTATTGAATGGGAATAAATGTTTTTAACTACTTATTTCTTGAATGCATAATGCGTTTCAGGTATTGTATAAGATAGTTACAATGACAATGTAATATGCATCGTTGTTTTGTCTCAAGCATTGTGGCATTTACGTGAAGCTATTTATCTATCTCATCCAGTAAACACATAAAGCCAGGCAGACCAAAACCTCATCTGTCCCTCAACAAGAATAAAAGTACAATGTTGTGTCTATTTTTTCCCAAGTATATGCGTGAATCAAATAATTATATATAATATGTATTATTGAGATTATAATATAATTTCACGAGCGAATCTCCAGGAGAAAATGTAAACCTACTATTAAATTTGGATAATGAAAGGAAAGATAAATGAAAGCATAATTAAGAAGGGAACTGTTGGGAGAGCGCTAAAAAGTTTCTTAGAAGCCGTCCATATTATTTATTTATCTCTCAGTGGACAGTCCTGCTGTTTGTTTTTGTATTTATATTTTTTTGATTTATCGTTTACTTAACGCAGTTAAATGGAAACTGTTGCTGACAGCCAAACTTTTGAATTAAAAAATTGCTTTGGAATTAAATTTCTTATTTTTGTTTAACGAAAAAGTAAGATTCGCTTCTTTTGGTTGTTATAAAATTTAAAAAAGTTATACTGGTTATTTGAAGAAACACGATAACTTTTCCTTTGTTTTTCATGTATTCAGTAAGGAGAATAAGCTTTGTTTTTATCTATGTATTTATTTGTAGTAAAAACGGGCGTGTTTCCTCAATTCATAAGCACAAACGCATCAGTACCATCTGGGTATGCTACTATTTCTCGTCTTTTATTATTAATACTGAATTTTCTCGTATATGCAATCGATCAACGCGACGGGAAACTCGGCTATCCTGCAAAATCGTAAAAGGGAAGAGGTTGATTATGTACTACAAAAAAATACAAAAAAAGAATGTTTTTGAAAAGCATACGACAGGATTTATAGGGTAATATTACAGAGTGAAAGCAAGATGAACATAACATAACAAGGCGTATTGGACCTTTACTGGTGGTAGGACCTCTCGTGAGTCCGCGCGGGTAGGTACCACCACCCTGCCTATTTCTGCCGTGAAACAGTAATGCGTTTCGGTTTAAAGGGTGGGGCAGCCGCTGTAACTATACTTGAGACCTTAGAACTTATATCTCAAGGTGGGTGGCGCATTTACGTTGTAGATGTCTATGGGCTCTAGTAACCACTTAACACCAGCTGGGTTGTGAACTCGTCTACCCATCTAAGCAATAAAAAAAGGTAGTGTCGGTACCGATTTATGCGATGAGAACATGGCGATACCCTAACCTCGCATGGTGTACCTACGAGTATGCGCCACATCATGTCCAAGAAACATTAGCATATCACTGTGGGTTCAACTTCAATCCAAAACAGCTACTTCCCGATGCAAGTGTGTCTGATCAGTATCTGTACCAACTGTAAGGTTAGTTATTTTAGGTCGCGATTTACCCGGTCCTCGTCAAATAATCTATCATTTAATTGAATGTGAATAATGAATGAGAAAGAATTTTAATCTTACAACGAAGTAGAGAAATTCCTATTAGATCCTTCAAAAATCTTCGCTAAAGGTTTAATTTTTTCAAACAGCTCTGAGCCTTTTAAGTTGCTTTCGCTTAACGAGTTTCTCACAGCTATTTAACAAGGCTAAAGGGCTTACAAAATCCCTAAGGCGCCCGAAACATGCTATTCTTAAGATGACCTTTCCTCTTTGTTTCTGCGACCTATAACTCGGCAAACATTTCGCCCTTTAGTATTTCCTAGCCTGATTACAAATAAAACCGTCTAGTTCGGTTTGTAAAACAATATTGCCGAGCCTTATTTACTTAATACTTACATGGTAATTATATACTTTAGAACAGAGTACATTCTTTTTAAAGCAGATTAAACATTAAAAAGAAAATCGAATTTGACATTTAAACTTGGAAACACCGAAAACAGTTTAAGTTATCTTTGAGTACATAAAGAGTTTCTGGATACGGTGCACTAAGTAGAATTGATTTAATGCTATAATTAAAATCTTGCTACAAACTACTTTTTAAAGAACCTCTCAACTACAACAGGTCCCTACTCATTATTAGGGCTGCCACTGTTATACTTAGTTAATTTAACTCATGACCTAATTCTTTGGTCTCCATAAATAATATATCACCAAATTCTTGGTATATAAGTTATGAATGATCCTGATATTTCAATTCGTCATTTCATGTTATCGTAATTTGAAGAGACCTTTATTATTTTTTATAACAAATCATTACCGGAGTCAGAAAATGCTATAAAATTAATGTAAAATATCGTAGTCAAATTTTTAATTACTTTGTAGTGGAATATTGGTCAGTACGTAGTGAGAAGGTACCGCTATCAGCTAAACTGCAGTTTTTGAATATAATTGTAGTTTCAAGCATGCATCTTAATGTTAACATTCCCTTCTGGATGTCTAGGGACTCTTCAAGACGATAATTTATAATCAATGTACAAAGCTGCATCGGTATTGAATTAGAGAGAAAAGTAAAGGAAGTTTGATTGAAAACAAAGCGAGGAAAACATTGTTTTAATTATAAAACTCAAGTCTACTCCATTCAATAGGATCGATAGAGAACCAGTAGAAGCGGTCCGGCATGCCGACTTTCTAATTAGTACCATCGTTTGACCCTCCCTCCGTGCGTCGTATTCCTCAGTTCTGAGGGTCGTGACCTTTACTGAGCACTTTTGTCAGGACTATGTTCTTCCATTCACTTCTGTCCTCCGCGCAGTGGATAGCGACATTGATGCTGGATTCCAAAGTCGTCTTGATCTGATCGGACCAGCGCATGTGACTAAGCGCATCGTTTGACCAGGTTTCGTGATAAAGTACCTGAATAATTTATGTAGTTTTTTATACTTTCAATTTTCCATTACTGTAACAAGCTTTCTCTCAACGATTACATCAGTTTCTGTTTTGTTGAATTAGGCAACCCTATCTTAGTCTCACCTCAAAAGTAAATTTCCTCTCTTTTCACTTTTCAAATTAACTGTTGCCCGTAATTAGCTCACCCAGGCACAGTGTACATTATAACTTGTTAGACTAAGAATTTTTTCCTTAATTTTTCGAGCAGCGGCGGCGTTATATTGGGCTCTAAATTATACGTGACTTAATGGCTTTTACTTTGAATAATGTTCTGGGAAAGCGAAAGGCTTCTGAATTCGTAATCATTCCACATTTTGTATGTAACAAGAGTTATCGTGATTTTTTTTTTATTTTAATCAAAGTTTTGAAAGTTTATGTTACGTAGGCTCTTATATTCTTTTGGGAAATAACTGAAAGTTTGGGGAAAAACGAGTCCGCAGATGTGTGAATAGTTTGTCAGTACTCCACAGCCGCGCGATTATGATATTATGATATATGCTTTATGATATTTATAGATTGTGATTTCTATAGTCTAATGTTCTTTGTAATTGATATAGGACTTGAATTGAACCATACCAAAATCTGTCACCAAATCAGAAAGTAGATGGTTGATAGTAACTATTCAAGTATCCAATTCAAGTCTTCAAAGTATCCAATTAATTTTTATGGTTTTAAGTAAGGCG